ACTCACCATTCCCTCCATCCAAATAAAAAAATGTATCAATTAGGGCTCCTGTTACCGTTGTAACAGCTAACTTATGATTTGTGTCTGAGACCAGTTTTGTCATCCTTTGCTCTGAATATATGCTGTAGGAAATACAACTTTAAAAATGTTCATATTGAGAAATGCTAAGAACTGATAAAAAAATGCAGAACACCTCAGTGTATTGCTTCTCATTATTTCCATCGTGCTTTTAACAAAGATACTGGATGTTTATATAATGAAAATGATGCAGCACAGTTTTGTCTGCCTCATAAAAAGAAAAGTCTCATATGAGACTTTGTGTGCGGTTTATTTTTTTCCACTTCTTTCTCGATCCAAAATTTTGCATGCAGTCCATGGCAGTATTCACACTTGATAGAAAAGCTGCACTTGATTTTGTTATTTAAAAACATGCTGATTTGCATGGTTAGTTTCAGATTATCTCCTTGAAATATTTTGGAAGCATTCAAAAAAAAAAAAAAAAAAAGACCACAGACATAAGATACGTCATCTAGAGCTAATACGACATCGACTGTAGCATCCATGTGCCATAAATAACATTTCTCTTAATCCTTTATCTGAAGAGGAATCCGACTCCAAGATACTTAAAAAATAAAAAAATACCTGCCTATGTTAACACGGCAAATGAACAAAAACACTATAGGATATTTCTAGCTCTGTATTTAGATCAACCATGATTACATATGCATACAATCTGAAGAATTAAGGAATGCTATTCATCCCTGTGCAGGGCAAAAAATTCTTTACGCGCTCACTAAAGTCTTCGGTGTTAACTCAGACATACTAAGTTCAAGTACAATACAAACTCAACTGAAGTTGTCTTTGCCTTAAAGATGGCATGAGTTCTACAGTTAAGTTTCTCACCTGCTTGCTTCTCAGCATGTCATTCATTTCTTTGAGTCCTTTCAGAGAGGCTTATTTAGAGTCTTAAATGCCAATGAGTTCCTCAGTTGTTGACCTCATGATAAAGGAATGGACATTATGCTCTCTAGAGGCAATTAGAATTCTTTTTAAAACATATCACTGGAAGAAGTTAACTGCTACTTGAGTACATGTGTTCCATTTAAAGTTATCTGCAGTAGCTATTCTCTATTCCTAATAATAAAGCCTTTCTCAAAAGAAAAAAAATCTTGTGTACGCTTAGTGAAAGACTGAACTTGCAACTCCTCCACCAGACACTGTTATTACCTCATGTGACAACCTTGACATTTTCACATTTTAAAGAAGTCTTCATTAGCAACTGCCTGGCAGTGAATAATTTAACAGTCCCCCAAAATTGATTTCTTGTCTCCAAGCAAGTACCGATGTGGCTGATTCATTTTTAATATCAACTCAGCAAAACAGGTAAAGATTATAGTCTACTCTCTGATTTAAAAAGCTTTTATAGTCTTCTGTAAATTATCTCATTTTTATGCAAAAATAAATAAACAAACTGAAAACACACACACAATACAGAAGTATGCTAGGAACACAACTACATAGCAATATAAAATTGAATACGCACTTATTAGTAACATATGAATAATCCGCATATAGTTATGTGTCCTGCTACAGTGGGCTGACCCTGGCCAACAGCTATGTACCCCACACAGCTGCTCACTCACCTCCACACCACCAGTGGGAGAAGGGTTTATAAGAAGAACAACAGCAAGAAAAGCCATAAGATAAACAGCTTACAAAAACAAGCAACGCAAAAGGAAGTCACATGCCACCTTGCACAAGCAGATTCACGTCCAGCCTGTGTTCAAGCAATGGCCAGCTTGGAAGACAAAAAGCAAACTACTCTTCTGCTTCTTCTACTGTACTAGCATTGTGGTACTTGTATAATCAATAGATATCAAGATGTTACAATCACAACATAATCAAGAGAGTTAGGTAAAATAGTCAATGATAACAAAAAGAGAATAAGTGGAAGAGCTTACCCTTTGGCTGGGCTCACCACAAAACACCAAGAGAGATGATCTCCAGACGAGATCCTTCCCCACTGGTAGCCAGCTCTTCAATAGGTCTAGGAGGGCTGCAGCCTGGCTCCACCCCTTCCGGCAACACAGCTGAATTGCCTTCACCTGTGCTCCTCTGACTGACTCATGGCTCGCCTCAGGTGATCAATCAGAGGTTCAGGCTGTGACTCAGCAGTTCCCATACAGGTACTAGAAGAGATGTAACATCCTTTATTTTTGGAAATGTTGCCCAATCCTTAAATATCAGATTGTGCTTTCAAAAGACAAGATTCCACTCTGCTTGTAAGAATTTCATTTAATATGGTAAATGTTGCCATTTTTTTTTTTACCAGAAACTTTGAAAAATATGTATTTTTAACATTTTGTGGACCACAAATGAGGCATATCTAACTTGAAGCTACAACATCATTGGAGATCACTAATTATAGTATTTTATCTATTTATTTATTTATTTATTTTGCTTTGGGCAGGTAATTTGAGATACCTACCACAAAAAAAACAATCATATGGTAATATTTTATGTCAGGGATATTTAAAACTTTACGAGCAATAACAGTAGTAGGATTAGTATTGCTGCACTAATAGTCATTGTTCAAATTTGTAAAATACGCAAATGAGTCTTATCTGCATTAAAGCTATTTAATTTATTATTTATGTGATCTTTGCTGCTTATGTTTAAATACAAAACTTATTACCAGCTGTACAAGCTGAGTCTCGGGAAGAGATCTGGATGATATATTTTAATTCAATCAGCCTTAGCTGCTTGTATACACAGATGTTAGAAATTTGTTTTCATAAACATACTATTTCCCCAATGCTTTTTTGCCCATGTCTAGAGGTGCAGAAAATACGCAGGAGATATGACAAAGGAAAAGTCAAATTCCATGTTCTATATTAAGACATATGCTTTCTGATATTTTAAATTGTTCCATTTGACTTTATTGAAAATATATTCAGTATTTAAAACAAAAATGGTGCTCCAGCAGCTATAATAGATATCCTTCGAGTGTATGAAGTCAAATACATCAAAGAGAACATTTATTTATTTTGGATTTCATCTAACATTTACAAACTGTAATAAAACCTCACAGGATTTCTCCATCTATTACCTATGGAATATGGAAGATTCTTAATGTTTTATTTTAGAAAGGCAGTTTTCAAATGTTGGTGTGCATTTGTATAAATATGTAGATATGTAGACATATCAGATCAACACGTTCTTTTTCCTTATGCCATTTTATTCCTTTTATAGTAGAGAACATTATCAATTAATCAGTTTATTACTAGTGATGAATACAGTGGAAGAATCATCTTCTTCCTGGAAGTTCAGAAATAAAATTGCTTGCCTGATAATTCTATAATGTAAGAAAAAGGATCCTCCAGTTACAGTATCATGTAAATAAAATATCATACTACATATATATATATACATACATATACATATATATATATATTGAAATAAAATATCATACTACATAATACAGTGTGATCATATAATACCAAATGACATTAAAAAACACTAGAAGATTTTCAGGAATCTCCTTTTTCAGATAGTCAAATACCTCAGGTAGAAATTCACAATGCAGATCACATACTGGCACTGAATAAATTCAGCTCACTTGTTAGATGAGTTCTGGGCAAACAAACAGCAGCATTGAATGGAGTGGGAACACCACATGGGGTTAACTTCCCATTGAGCTCCTACTACTCTGCCAATTCCTTACAGTTTTGTAAGCACTTCCCTTTCCCTCTGCAAAACGCTGTAACTGGTATCTACTGCTGTGTGAAAACTCTTAGAAACAGAGTTAGTTGTCTGTATACAAAGAAAATGGAAACCGTATACATGCAAAGCTCTGGGATGCCCAAATAAACAAACAGTTCTTGGGCAGGAAATTTCTGCCCTTTGCAACACTAGAGGTGGTGATATTGAAACATTTGTAACCGCAGCAGATGGGATTTCAGGCACAGACAGATGAAGCTAACAATGTTTTATAAGCCCTGCTTGGCTTCCAGCAGCTGCTTCAGAAAGCTCTCAGTAGGTCTTGTGCTCATCTACCAGTCTTTTGGAGACCTGTTGAGCACAGGTTATCTAAAACAGGGCAACTCGCCAATTAAGCATGATTTCTAGGGGTTATATCCACCTGAATAAAATCGACACGAAACACATATCACTGCGTTATGACGGATGATTGCCAGAAAGAAAAAAAAAAAAAAATTTCATCATTCTTCTTTGAAACTATTTTAATAGATTCAGCACTGCTTCAGATAGGAGGCGTTGGAGAGATTTAGGACGTGATATACAGATTCCATTACTCTGAATTTGTAATAAGCCACATCACTGAAAGAGCACCTGCTCATAGTCATACATTTGTCCCCTCGGGTCAAAAGAAGAGGATGGGTACTCAGAGAGTCTTGAGCACATTGCTTTGGGCTTTGCAGCACATAGGTATCATCCATTCATCATGTCGTATCATAGAGAAAGAAAGAGAAAAAAAATAAGGAGATTTGATAATTTTATTTTTTATGGCACTTGTAGCACATTATTAACTGAAAAAAAAATTACTATTCACTCTTGAGAAAAAGAAAAACGCTGAAAGGCGTCAGTCTTCTCCAAGATTCAGAAACGTACACGCAATCACCACACGGGCCACGCAGCCGCTCACAACTATTCCACCGCCCCCCTTTTCCAGGCAGCGCGCTTCCCCTCAACAAGATGGCAGCCTCCTCCACCGACATGGCGGTTCGAGTTTCTATTGGCGCCTGCACTCCCACTGGCCTGCTATTGGCTGAGCCACAGGTTTTCCCCGCCCCTCTCGGCCCCGTCTCGAGCTGGGAACTACATTACCCAGGGCGCCCCGCGCTTGGGGAGTCGTTTCCAGCCCTCGCGTTCTTTTCGTAGTTGCGTAACGGGGCAGCGGGGACAGGGCGTGGTCTCGCGAGAAGTTCGCACGGGTCGGGGCCGCGCAGGGTGGGCGGCTGGGGAGGGGGCGAGGCGTGGAGCTGCCGTGCGCAGGAAGCGAAGCCGGCCGCGCGGCTCTCGCTGTGCCTCTCTTCACTGTTGGCTCGGGCTCCATGGCCGCCGCGGAGGCCGCACCCGCGGAGACAGCGCTGGATTCTAGCGGGCTTTCCCCTAAGGAAGAGGGAGAGCTGGAAGACGGCGAGATCAGCGACGATGACAACAACGGCTCCGGGCCGTGCGGCGGCGGCGGCTCCGAGCCCGGCGGCGGCCTGGTGGGCAACAGGCCCTACTCGAGGCGCAGGCCGCCTCCTGGCCTCCGCGGCGGCATCTCTCTGTCGTCCTCTCGGCGCTTCCCGCGGTCGCGGCACCAGCCCCCGCCCGAGATGGGCCACCTGCACGGCCACGGCGGTTACCGGCCCAAGGACTCATTCCGCTCCCACCCGCCGCCTCTGCCCGCGCCGCGGATGCCGTCGGGCCCGCACTCGGAGACTGGTCCCCGGCTCTCCTTCTGGGAGCGCAGTCACAACGCCCTGGACCGATTCCGCTTCCGAGGCCGGCCCTACCGAGGCGGATGGCGCTGGGGTAGGAGTCGGGGCGGCGGCGAGAGGGGCGGCAACCCGCCGGGAAGGCCGCCCGGAGGGGGAAGCTGCGCTGGCTTCAGCGGCAGCCAGGGCTGGAGAGAGCCCTCGCCTCGGAAATGTATCCTTCCTTCTGCCGGGGGGCGGCGGCCCGAGCTGCCGGGTGGGCCCGCTGTGTTGTCAGCGCTGCGCTACGTGGCCCGGGGCGCGGGGAGGGACGCGGCTCCTTTGGCTCTGCCTCCCGCCGCCAGGGGCTCCGGGCAGCCGGGTTCCCGCTGGGACGGCGCTGCAGCCTGCCCGGCCCGATCAGGGATAGAAAAAAGCATAGCCTGAAACAAAGCCCTGCTCTGTTGGATTCGAGGTGCTGCTGTGCTAGCCCGAAGTGAGCCTTAGGATGTGGTGTCAGTGAGACAATATATGATTGAAGTGTCCTAGTTATAAAACTAAAGCGCTGAGCTTGTTAATTTCCCTTGTTGGGCAATGAAGGATCTGCCCTTCTTTCATTTTCACTTGCAGCCCTTCAGAGGTTATTTGTAGCTAAAGCCAAACTCACATTAAATGTGACTTGGGGCTCTGTACACAGAAGGTGCATTACGTGGGAGTTCAGGTAACATGGAATGCCCTGTTTCTGTTTAAAGCCACACCCAGTGTTTCTTCTAGATATTCTCTATCAGTTGCTTCTGGATAAGTTTGCTGAGGTGGTTTTCATGGGTTTTAAAGTTTTCTCCCATTAAGAGTAGAAATAGGAAAAGCAGTGGAAAAATCTCATTTTCCAGAACCACTATAGGAAAAAAAACAATTTAGATGCCAACTGTAACTTTGGGGTAGCATGGCATTGAGACTTGATGCAACTGCCTGAGAACACAGATACTAAAAACAAACAAACAAACCACCCAGCAAAACTTGAGCAAAATAATTAGTGCTTGAAAGTTGTTTTCCAGAATCTTATGCTGCTTTGTTGAATCTGTAGCCATAGTTGAAAGATGTGACTTGTTTTTTGGTTGTGCTGCTTGTCCCCAAGAACAAGGATTTTTTTTTTCTTCTCCTACTTGTCCTAGGACTTAAGGCTTTGAAAGCTGCTCATTGGTTCCCTGTGCTACTTTGGAGCCAAGATTATGTATCTGTGTCAACCGTTCTTTTTCGGTATGCAGAGAGAATATGTAAATTACTGATAAAGAGCTGTTCTTAATCTTGTCTGGTGATGTTAAGAGTGTTCCTGAAACCTTCATAACTCTTCATTCAAGGATTGTTTCTTATCTTGGAGGCAGGGAATGAAGATGTGATTTGCCCCAAGGTTGCACAGTGCAACAGTGCCAGTGCTGAAAATAGAGGCTATAGCTCTTAGTTCGAAGTGTTGCTCAAAGTACCAGAAAATAGTTACTTTCTGTGTAATTTGCAGGGCAAGTATGTTTATCATTCTCAGCTGATCTTACAATGCTTGATACAGATACAGTCGTCTTGGACACTTTAAGGGATCATACAGAAACTGATAATTTGGTTTTCAAACCAAATGAGCAAGGAAATGAAGTCTTTTATTGTTTATATGTAAGATGCACTCTTCTGTTTGAATATTATAGGTGATTTTCTAATGCTGTTGCCCCTTAAGTCACATTTGGTTCTAATGGATTAATTAAGGAAGGCCCATGATTTTCTCTCTAAAATATGAATTATATTTTTTCATGTCTTTACTATCCAAATGAGTTGGTATTAGAGTATCCCTACATATTGAGATATTTCATATTGCTGATGTGAATGGAGGAGGGGTGCAATTAGCAAGTGACTTCAGATGAGACACTCACATGAACTGGTACAAGGAGGTTCACTGCAATGGGTGATATTTGGAATTTCACAGGACAGGTGAGAAATGTGAAGGTCTGCTAACAAATAATGGCTTTTTTTTCTTTATCCATGTAACTGCTACTTTGTGTGCGCTCTGTAGGAGAGGAAGTGTAGATGAGTTGGAGTAAATCAGAGTTAAATAATTATTTTTCTTTGGATATTAGCTTTTAATAGATTTATGTTTTTATTTCCTAGCAACTTCAGTGTGGAGCTGTTGAATGAGCCTTCTGTAGAAATTCTTATGTAGAGATTTGTGGAGTTCTGGGTCTGAAACATGGAGCCACAGTGTGGCTTAGGGTTACTGTTGAATTATAACCTCTTCCCTTTTCAGTTTTTTTTTCTAATCAGTTGATCTCTTTTTGGTTGTAGTTTGTAGGCTCTCCAGTGTTAATAGAACTGTTGTTCTAATGCACTCCTGTCTGCCTCTAATGGCACTCACCTAATCTTACACTCTGTATCTAGAGCTATATATGAAAAAAGCCAGCAAACCTGCATTCATGGAACACTGTTGTGGTTTAACTCTGTGGGCAGCTAAGTATCATGTGACCCAATGGGATGACTGAGAGAACTGAAAGAGGTAAAAAGGTAAAAACTTGAGGGTTGAGATAGTTTAATAAACTGAGAGAGAAATGGGAGAGGAAGGAAAAAATACAAAAGGAAGTGGTGCAAAATGCGATTGCTTGTCACTGGCTGATGCCTAGCTAGCCCTGGAGCAGCAGTAGCTCTCCCCTAATCCAGGCTGTTTGCCCCCAGTTTTATTGCTGAGCACTGTGCCAGGTAGCACAGAGCATCGTTTTGGCCATGTGGTTCAGCTGACCTAGGTTCTGTCCTCTCCCAGCTTCTTGTTGGTGGGACAGCTTGAAAAAATGGAAGGTCCTTGTTTCTGTGTAAGCACCGCTCAGCAGCAACAAAAACATCAGTGTATTATCACCACTGATTCATCCTAAATCCAAAATAAATACCATACCAGTGACTGTGAAGAAAATTAACTGTCACAGCTAAAAGCCAAAACCGCAATAAACACCACGTTTCTTATGAGTACCTTTTTGGGAGCTGTAGCAACTTCATTAATCCAAGCTTAAAAAAACTTTTCAGAACTTTGTCTTCTGTGACCCAACTCCAGATGTCTCCAGAAATTGTTTCAGTATTGAAATTATCAAATCATTTTTAGGTTTATTTTTATAAGTTGTGTTAAATAAGTTAATCAGCTTCAGATTTTCCTGTCACTCACAAAATTACACACATTTTGTTAGCAGCAGAAACCTTTGAGTTTGACAGAATTGACAGAATTCGTAGGTAATTTGTGGCTATTTTTCACAAAGCTCTTACATTTTGGATGTATTTCCAGTATATTTGTAAAACTCCTCCAGTTTTTGATTGCCTTGTGGATTTAACGTAGTTTTATCTTATGTGCTGACACTTAGGAGAGCATTGTTAGAGCAGGAAATGTTTTGTTACACAGATTTGTTTATGCAGGATAAGCAGCAAGAATCTTTAGTCTAAAAATAGTGAAATATCCAAGTTGTTGATGTGTTCTGCTTTTTTCTCTAATAAGGATTTTTTAGATAGGTCTTAACTATCTTAGCTTTTAATTTTTTACTCAAAATATACCATGTTGGAAAAAGCATTTCTCATAACTAACTTTGAGTCAGTGCTGATATTGTAAGTTCAATGAGTCAAACTTGACTCAGTATCCTATGTTTTTTTTTTCCTGGGGGTAATTATTTTACTAGATTGTTTATCTTTCAACTTTAAGATTTTCAAGGTAGGAGAAGTAGGAGTTAAACTCAATGATCCTTATGGGTTTTTGCCCAACTTGGGATGTTCTGTGAAGGGTAGCTGTGTGCAGAACACACTTGCATGGTAAGACTCTCGCTAAGAATGTTTCCACTGCCTGCCTTGAACAGCTTGACTACCTACTCCCAGCGGATACAAATTTTCTTGACAACTTTTTCTGACTAATTAATACTTCCAAATCCTCTCCTAAGTGTTTTGATTGCAAGTCTTTAGCCAACATTTTTTCTTCCCCACAGCTGTTGGCTATGTGATGCCTTACCTCGCTTGTTGAGCTACGGTTTCTGCAGTCTGTAATTGTGCTGTGGCTAGATGTTGGCATTTATGAAAGGATAAAATCAATGAGAATGAATTCAACCTATCTTTTTCAGGCGATCAGCTGGGCAGCCAGGACTAGAGTTAGGACCTCTAGGAGTTCAGCTTGCTCTTTGTAATATGGAACCTTCTCATCATTACAGCAGTTGTCCCAAGATAAAGAAGGCATCTCAGGAATTTTAGGGTATTCTTTTAAGTTGATGATATGAGAAAAGTGTTTATTTTTGCTGTCCATATCTGACAGTGACACATCTTTTATGTGCTGCTGTTGTAGATGATATTTTTCAAGCTATCCTGAAGAGAAAACTAAATCAATTTAAGTTCTGTTTGTCATCAGTCTTACCTTTGCTATGTGAATGTTATACATGCTCTTTTCTTACTTTTCTTAACTGGTAATTCAGCCAAAACTTTTGGAAGGTCTCCATCTAGAAAACAGAACTATTCTTCTAAAAGTGAAAACTCTGTGGAAGAAAGTTTTGAGGATCTGCTCCTGAAGTATAAGCAGATACAGTTGGAGCTTGAGTACATTAATAAGGATGAAAGATTGGCTCTGAGCAACAGGGAAGAAAATGAACAACAAGATGATAGTAAAACAGCAGACACTGAGGACCAAATAACTGTAGAAAATGACAGTATTAAAACAGATGCTATAAAAGAAGTTTCTCCTGAGGAGAAAAATCCGGTTATGGCCTTTCAGGCATTTGAACTGAAACCTCTCAGACAAAAACTGCCCACTCCAGCTGAGAGGAGCAGGTTGAAAAAAGTCAAAGAAGGAACAAAGCAGTCGTCACAGAAATCTGAAGTCACAGAATCCACTCAAGGTAAATACCTGTAAAGTTGTTGTAGCTCGCTTGTTTTGTTATAGTTCTTTTTGCATGCCTTAATTTATCATATTTGTTAAGTGTTCGAAAGTATTGTACTGAATAATGTAATTGAAACTAGGATTTTAGTTTAAAGTGATACAGTAAATCTTGCTGTATTGGCTTCCTCTTCTATGTAATTCACCAAAACTGCTTGGAAGCATGGTTGTGGTGTGTTTTGTTTATTTATTTTTTTTTTTTTTGACAGATGAAGACCTTCTCGTAAAGGTCCTTGAAATTACTTTTAAGATGAGCAAACTGAGTTAGCTTAAATTTCTTAATTTGAGCCTCCAGCTGGTTCTGCTACATGATGTTTAATGTGTTGGAGGATGTGCTGAAAGACGTCACTTGTCATCTTATGGTAGCTAATTTGTCAGTGTGCATAAACTATCAATTTGAGTGGGAAGAGACAAATTGCTAAATGAATGGACTAAAGATACACGTGAGTGATTTGTAGGAACATGAAGAAGGGTGGGACTAGAACACTCAAAGTCAGAATGATCAATTCATATTGCAGAATCACAGAACTGTAGGGGTTGGAAGGGACCTCCAGAGATCATGGAGTCCAACCCCCCTGCCAAAGCAGGTTCCCTACCGTAGGTCGCACAGGTAGGCATCCAGGCAGGTCTTGAACATCTCCAGAGAAGGAGACTCCACCACCTCCCTGGGCAGCCTGTTCCAGTGCTCCGTCACCTCACTGTAAAGAAGTTCTTGCGCACATTTGTGCAGAACTTCCTATGCTCCAGTTTCTGGCCGTTTCCCCTTGTCCTGTCTCCACTCACCACTGAAAACAGTCCGGCCTCGCCATTCTGCCGCCCACACCTTAGATACTTGTAGACCTGGATCAGGTCCCCTCTCAGTCTTCTTTTCTTGAGGCTGAACAGACCCAGTTCACTCAGCCTTTCCTCATAGGAGAGATGCTCCAGGCCCTTCACCATCTTTGTGGCCCTCCGCTGGACTCTTTCCAAGAGATCTCTGTCTTTTTTGTACTGGGAATTCATGTGTGACTTCAGTATCAGAATTTAGAAGGGAGGTATTTTTAAAAATTCAGTAAAGAGCTAGAGAAAACTGATAATTACTAGATAAACCTTCCTAGATATTTTTCCCCTTGCTTTTTTCCAATTAATTAAACAAAAATTCAGATATTCCTTAAGAAGGAACATAATTTTTAATGGGAGATGTGGGGGAGCATAGGCAGTCAATTTTGGCCATACGAAAAGGGAAAACAGTAGCTTGCAGGAGGAAGTTGCAAGGCAGGAATAAAAGACTATTTCAAAAGCAAGAGAGTCTGCAAGAAAATCTGCCTTCAAAGTTCGAAAGCAGTGAGAATGAAAGTACCTGGTCATATGATAGGGGAAATATATGTTGTAATAGGTGTACTGAGAACATATGGATTTTTGGAAACTGCTCAGTTAAACATATGATGAAGATGACCTGAAAGCAGGCAGAATGCACAAGATGGAGGCCTTTATGGTGGTGTAATACATGTTTCCAGAGTAGGAAAGATCTGGATTTTAATTACTGCAAATTAATGAGTAACAAGTAAATGCATGCTACTTAATTATGCATATACTAAGACATCAGCAACATTCTTTTTTTTTTTTTTTTACAAACTGGTTTCTTGGGTGTCCTGACCTTCCAGAGTTGAAGAATTTGTCTTAAAGCTGAGTAAAGCTTATGTATTCTAGAATTGAATCTGTAGTTCAAGTCCACTGCACTCACAGAGGCTTTACAGTGTTATTCCTTCCTCTCTTGCTTCTCATTAGTCTGTTTTGCCTGTGTCTTCGTCTTCTAGTTTACGTACCATGTCCTTATCTGCATCTCCTCGCTTCCATCCTGTGGACTGAGTGACGGAGAACTTTGCTTAGTGTAGTAACTTCTTTGATTTATCTTTTTAGAATGCAGATGGGCATTAAATAATTATTTTTCTCCCTCGTGTGTGTTATTAAAAAAACAACAACATGCATATCCAAACTCTTGCTGTGCACTGTTTTTATTTAGGTATAAGCTCTTAGTATATTTTAAGCAACCTCTTTGTGACTTTTCATAAAATACTGAGAAGAAAGCAAGCTGTGCTGACTGCAGTCTTTCCACTGATGTAACTTTCTTGGTGAGGAATCTCTCTGAAGAAAGGCTGATACAGGAGAGGGTTGCAAAGCATCTATTTGTTCATAATTGTCTATATTTTCCATTATAATTATACAATACAATGTTAAATATACTATTGATTGATATATAATAATACTATTGTGTTAATCAGGATTGGTTAGATTTATTAAATGATATAGCACTCTGTATGCTGTATGTAAATATGTAAAGCATAATAAACAGATTCATGGTTTTCGGGCAGTCTAAAATTGATTTGCCAATGTATTTATGGGAAAAGCATTACTATTTGCTTTTCACTTTCATAGGATAACTGTATATTTGGTGTGAAATGAACCAAGTACATTCTTACTGCAGCATTGAGCCTTTATTTCACTCTGCAGACAACTGACCCGTTACTCAAAATATCTGCCAGTGGGATCTGAGATGCTCAGAGCAGTAACTGATGCAAGATGCTGGCTAAAGTGGATGGCGAGAAGCCTTGCTCTTGTCTTGTTTCTTGATCTGTTCTGCTCTGCTTGGGGAAGTAGAGCCAGAGGACTATTTGAAGAGTCAAATCTTGCCTTAGGCTTATCCCTTCTTGATGATGCAGATTTCATCAGATATGCCATTAATGGTTTTTAATGTGTACATATAACTTAAAATTATAATTCTGGTAGTGTACCATTGATAGTTTTGTATAGATTCATTTCTGTATTTAATTCTAATATTCTGTTGTTTCATGAGAAGCAACTTGCTCAAAACCATTCTCTTTTGAAAGGTGCAGAAGACAAAGAACAAACATCAACACGGAAGCCTAGCAGTTCAGATGTAATCTCTGAAAAGGTAAGAAAGTAGTCCCCAATAAGTAAGGTGTCATTGCTTTATGGTATTTCTTACGATTTTTTTCCAAACTGTGGTTCAGAAACATTTCAGTGATAGAAGCGGTTGATTCTACAGGAACAGCACTTCACCATTAGAGCATTATTTTAATCTTCTTTTAAGAAATGTAGGGACAGACTTTAAAAGACTTTCCAAAAATATTCACTCACTAAATGACATACTAAATGATACTTCTTGACTTTGTCTCATCCTTTTTTTTTCTTTTTTTCCTCTCAAGAAACTGCTTGATGAGGAGGAGGAGATGTCTGAATTGCAGCTTAGGCTTCTTGCACTTCAGTCTGCTAGTAAAAAATGGCAACAAAAAGAGCAACAGGTGATGAAGGAAAGCAAGGAAAAATTAACAAAAACGAAAACTGTAACACAGAAGGTCAAAGCCAGTGCAAAAGCACATTCAACAAAAAAGACAAGTTCTACAGGTAATAAGTTAATGTTACTGAAATTGGAAACTACAATGGATGCTCTGAAAAAAGACATAGTATGTTTTGTGAAACAGTGAATTATGAGCCATTAATCCTTCTGGAACGGTCTTCATCTACTAAGAGATCCTGAAGATTCTAGGAATTGGGGAACTATTTAGTTAAAGTAGAGTTAATCACTTATCTTTTTATTTAAAGGCAAGCAAACTTTGAGGAAACAACAGACAAAGACATCAAAGAAGATACAGCAACAAAAGGAACAAGATAGGCGTCAGAAAGAGGAAGACCAGAGGAAACAAGAAGAGGAGGAGGAGAGAAGAAAGAGAGAAGAAGAAATCAGAAAAATTAGGGACCTCTCAAATCAAGAGGAGCAGTACAATCGGTTTATGAAGCTAGTTGGAGGAAAAAGGAGATCAAGAAGCAGGGTAATGAATTTGTAGCGTCACGTGTCGTGGTTTGTTTGGGATTCATGACTGATTCCTGTCTTTATGCTCTTCCTGATTTCACTCTCGCTAACCCTTCCTTATCCCCTTAAAACTCAAAGTACATGGGTCACTCTGATAGTGCTGCCTCTTGTTTCTTTCTATGGAAACTACAGCAGATGCAAAGAGCACAATAGCCCTGTTAGAGCAAATTCTCAGTTACAAAACACTTTCTCAATATAGTCACCACCATAAGTGATGAACAAGAGCCTTTCTGCTGCGTTCATTGAAATCTGCACCAGTAGATGCCCTACTGTTGCCACTGCTGAAATGCACCACCCACTGCCTCATTGTGCTCACAAACGTTGAGCTCATAAACGTTGAGCAAGTGGTGATGAATGTCGGTGCTGTTTTTCTGCATGGAAGAATTCAGTGATACATCTTTGTTGTGTATGCAGTTCTATGTCAGATGCCATTGTGACAGACTGCCCCTCTGTTGCATGGCAACAAAATGTGACAGGATATTGGTGGGAGGATTCAACCTGTACTGCCATACCACCAACGTGTACCTCTGACATTGTGGTTCAACAGAATAAAATAGGAGGCATTACTTTTGGAGCCACCCACTTATTCCAATGGTTACAAAGCTTTAATGCCTTCCTAGATAGATACTGCCTTTGGTTTTAGTAAGATGAGTTTTGTATGAGTTGTAGATGTGCGGCAAGTTAATGATAAAATATTTTCCTCCTAGAGATGTTTAGCTGAACTTTTTTTTTTTTTACTTTCTTTGCTTAGATTGCACTTCTGTCTCCACACTTGTAATTTCTTTGTCTACAACCTCAGTGACCTACTGCTTTCAAAATGCCATCCAAGTTTTAATTTCTTGGTAGTATTTTTTTAATCTCTCAACGTACTAAATATGCCCAAACACCAAAAAAAAAATGACTTCAAACCTCACTACAGGATGACAGAGTTGTGTCAGCTTTCTGAAGGGCTAGAATTACTGCAGTGTGGTCTTGCTGCACTTCTAGGATGTTTTTCCTCCTTTCTTGCAACTAGTGAAATGCACTTGAATCATCACATTCTGCCTTTAAATTGTAGGTACATTGCAGAGAAAACAAAAAGGCAGTATTTCTTCAGTGTTGGTTCTTTCATCATAGAAACTGCTTACAGCAGCTGCATCTGTATCAAGTGGTTTGTGCTACTGGTGCTGTAATTCCATTTTGCATTAGAGCTAGGGGAATTGTGACTCCCTGTTTGAAGTAATTTTATTCAAGACTCCCATGAGATGATGGGGAAATTGAGACTTGAAGTGTTTAAACATTCTAAAAGCTACCAACAGATGTACTGTATGCCTCTTAAGGATGCAAAATGAGAAGTCTTAAGAAGTAACGTTTACCTCTTCTGTGTCTTTTCATTTCTGAATATTAATTCCTACTCTGAATTACTTCAAGTTAAATTTAAGTCTCTTGGCATTATGTAGTGTGATATGTGTCTCATGTGGGACAAATGAAGGATTTGTGTCCTGAAACAGCAGTCTTACAACAACTGGAAAGTGTTTCAACTAAACACACAAATTCAGCCTTGTTGAAGATTATCTATGTACAATTTTGAGTTCTTTCTAATAAAAAGTAGTTTAAATGGTCTTGTTAGTTACCATGGCATATTTAACAGAAATGATCAAGAATTTATTTCCTTTCCAGTGTTTAAGAAACATGTAACCTTGGCCAATTACCAGATAAATGACTTGATAAATATTTAAAAATTGCTTGAGTATATAAGCTCAGTAGGCTTTCCTCCTTTCCCCCCTCCAAACTTCTAAGAACTCTTTTAAAAGCTGTTTGAAGTCACTACCTGCAGTAGATTTGATTGAAACTTAGTATTCAATTCAAAAGCTTTTTTTAATAAGCTGAGTAAATTGTATTTATAAAGTAATTAGAAGACTGTTACAGGGCCTGTCTATAATATCTTCTATAAATAGGTTTGCTCTGAAATAATAGCGTAAGAACAGCTAAATAAAATACTCTCATTGTTGCTTTCAGTCTTCAGATACAGACTTGAGATGGTCTTTGGATAAACAGCCTACGGATAGTGCAGGAGGCATATATCAGTATGATAATTACGATGAAGTTGCCATGGATACAGATAGTGAAACTAACTCTCCAGGTAAGACTTCCTGTTATTTATAAGATGATTGATTAAAAGGTAGGAAATGAGCAGTTACTTTGGAATATGATCTACTCGCTTACATTAAAAAAAAAAATAAAGTGTACTAACTAACATGCTAATACTGACTGTTATTTCTTTTCTATCTCTGCTGTAGTGATGATTTGAAGGTGCCCAGGGTTCTCATGGTAGTACTGTGAAATCTTTATTGTTTGTTTTTTTTTTTTTTTTTTTTTTTTTTTTTTTTTACATTCCAAAGCAGTTGTATAGAAATCTGAGGCCTGTGGGTGTTCTGCAAAGCTGCAGCTTACCCAGACAAGGGCCTGGGGTCAGTATTAGTGTTGAATGAAACATGAGTCAGCAGTACACCTTTGTGAGATAGAGGCCAGCTGCAGCCTGGGTTTGAGCACTGAGGCTATAATGGCTGAGCAGAGTGGTCGAGGACTGAGGGAAGTGCTTATTCCCCTCTCACTTTAGGAGACTGATTTGTCTTTAGTTTTCAACTACATGAAAGATAATGTATTGGAATGAGTCTAGCAGAGGACCTTTAAGTTTTTTGGGAACTGAGGCGTGTGATTTATGAAAAGAGACCACAAGAGCTGAGACTGTGTTAAGAAGGCTGAGGCAGGTCTTTATTGCTGTCTTCAACTTCCTTGTGGCAGTTATAAAGAAGATAGAGCCTACTCTTCTGTGGACTGGGCAAGAGAAGGATAGGGGAAAATGCTTAAATTGTTACAGAAGAAATTTTACCTATAAGGGCAAATCTTCACAGAGAACAATTGGATACTAAAACAGGTTGCCTCAAAATGTAAGAATTCAGCCCTTTAAAGATACTTCTTGTAACTTGACTGGATGCATCACTTAGCAAACTTTAGCACTGTATTGACCCCCTGTGTTAAGACAAATGACTTCAGAGATTTCTTCGAACCTAAAATATTTAATGACTCTGAGATGCTTTTAAGCATTCAGGCTTTTTTGTTCCATGTGAAAATGCTAAAGAAGGTGTAGTGTTGCAAGAGCTCCATTAATCAAAATACTGCATTAGTAATTTTTATTCTTTATTTTCCTTTTTTTTTTTTCCTGTTCTTCTTAATCTACATTGTACATTAATTTGCTAAAACAATACTCTGCTACATGATACACTGCTTGATGAAGCATCTCATGCTCTAATGTTTCTGAATTCAGTGTGTACATCTGATCTGCCTCAGCCCTTATTTGTACTGTAGTTTTGGTGTGCAGTAGCCAGGAGTCACAGAATCACAGTCACTCTACTGAGATTTGTAGTTTAAGAATGCAGATTCTGACATACTAAATAAAATATGACTTGGGATGATTTATCCCTTATTACCTCAGCGGTACTGTCTGGGAGTGCTTGCATTTTGTATGTAACTTTTTTTGTGCATCTGTGACTTACATGCACTGTCTGTGTTTCAGGCTGATAAACGAAGTGCTGATTAACTAAAAGGAAATAATGGGCTGCTGCTGTTTTAGTAGAAGCATGAGTTTAGTATTTCTTACGCTCAGTTGCTTCTTTTTATTACAGCTTCCTCTCCAGCACAACCTCCTTATTTTGAGTGTCCAGTAGGATATTATCCACCTCCAACAATACCACCAATTTCCTTGCCACTGCCACCTCCAATTCCAGTAAGTAACCTTGAAAGAAGTATTTCTGAAATTATTCTCATTTTCTCTCATTTCTAATGCTAGGGTTTTATCAAACGTACATGTAGTCCTGAATTATTTGATCACTTGATTTGATTATCCAATATTCTTTTTTGAATGATAGTTTCTGTTCAGTTAAAGTTTAATGTATTGAATAAAATTTTTTTTCTTGACTGTTAGTGGTGCTACGTGGTTTCTTAGCAAATAAGTTTGTTACCTAGGGGGGAAAAGAAAGCCCTGTAGTTTGTCACAGTCCTTTCACACTTTGATAGAAACAGTCAAAAGGCACAGTCTCTGTATCACAGAGTACCCATGGAAGTGAAAGTAGTTCCCCACCTCTTTTCCTCAGTGAGTGTTTTTTATTCTTACTGGGAAGGCAACAGGAAAGGAGATGCTTATTTTCCTCTGTTCTGGTGCCCTCTGAATTGTTTTGAGTGAAGAAGTGTGAAATTCTGTTGGCAAGATGAACTTGTAAAACCTTTTTGGAACTGCTTTTTAAACAGTTTGATGCAATCCATTGGCCTAACCTGTCAGATCAGCTATATTTCTGTGACTAGACTACCCCTGATACTGAATTTTCATGTATAGTTGTATGTCTGCACTACATTCGTCTTCCAAATGTAATTTTGTTGTTTCCATCTTTTTATGGGGTTATTACAGGCACTTAGCTACAGCCTTTGATATTAGTTTAAATCCACTGCAGTTTAATTTTAAACCATGAAATAATTTAGATAGCATAACCTCTGGTGAATAAAGAAATAATAAGCTTCAGAAGTCTCAAGCCTTTATTTTTATTTTTCTTTCAGCCTCTACCATCTTTGAGCCAACTTTATATGGAGGGTATTTCTTGTGTTTCTCTTGAGCCACCCCCACCCCTTCCACCTCTTCCACCTGAAGAGCCTGAACAGCCACCAAAACCTCCATTTGCAGATGAGGAAGAAGAAGAGGAGATGCTCTTAAGAGAAGAATTACTCAAGTCGCTAGCTAACAAACGGGCTTTCAGATCTGAGGTACTTCATTGGGTTTTAAATGTAAACCTCTAGGTGGCAATCTTGACCAAAACTTAAATGTGAACTTCGGGGGATTGAATGCTGCTTTTCTGATTTCTTAAAAATCAATTTCTACCACCTGAAAAGAAATCAAAGTAAAACCAACTCCAGGGATACTCTTTGAATTGTAACTTGCAGCTTACTATTTATTTATGACGGGGTTATGAAACTCTTAAGTGCCAAAAACTTGAATGTGCTGGGAGAGATAGGGATTCTCTGCAAAACTGCTCATTTCATTTGCGTAACTTCATTTCAAACTTACAGTGAGAGGAGTTGGGAGGCCTGTAACTTCTAAAAGATTATGTCTGATGTGTGTGATCTTTTTTTTTTTTTTTTTTTTTTTTTTTTAGAAACAAGGTTTATGGTTTAGGAGATTGGGATTGTTTTAAGTGTCATGGCATTTTGGCGTTATTGCAGTGTTACAAGCTTTATCTGATATAGTTGTATAGTCTGTTTCATGTCTTGAAACTTGAAATTATGATCTAAACAAGATCATTTATGCTTACATTTGTCTTGTAAAGTACCCATGTGTAATGACTATTTTTATTTTGTTTTGCTAGGAAACTTCAAGTAACAGTGGTCCTCCTTCCCCTCCTGTTCCAGATAATTTGCAGTCTGTGCCAAGAAGCAATCTGTCTGCTGTCAGTATTAATACTGTATCTCAGCCACGAGTACAAAATACGAAGTTTGTTAGAGTACCAAGGCCTCCACGAGCGGTGATCACAGTAAGGAAATATTGGTGCTTTCTCTTAACAGGACTGCAAGTTGGAGTTGAATTCAATTTGGGGGAAGAGCGAGTAGATGAGAATTTTTTTTTTTTAAACTAGGGATGCAGGATGGAATGGTGGAGCTTCAGTTAAACATTTGAATCATTAGTAACTTTAATCCATGTTCTCTTCTGGAAATAATTTGATGCTGAATTAAGAATCTAACAGCATGAGGGAGCATCAAAACACACCCATGCTTAGCTGAACTGGAAAATGTGTTTCTTTTTTCACTGTAGAAAGGAACGTCATTGGTTGGTGTAAGTTGGTCTAAACCAAACTAATAAGTTTGGAGAGTGTACTGGTGAAGTCTAGCTGTAGTGTTTATTACATGGAATCAGAGTAGGATCAGTTCACTTTAAGGTGCTTGAGGTACAGATCTGTGGTTGTTGCTAGTGTAAATGTAGCTGATCTCTGCTAAAGCTGCATAAATTTCAGGTTTATGAAGCTTGGATTTCAAAGACTGTATGTAGTTCAGTTAATCCTTTTTTCAGATTAGCATGGACTGAAACTGTGGTAGCTGGCCAGAGTAACCCCTCAGTTGCTCTTTCCCCTCAAAAGGTGGTCTTTCTCTTACTCCTTGTCAGAGTCTCTCTTCTTGTAAGCTATGATCTGGAGCATCATTCCTGTTCCTTATTTAACTTTCTGCGTTAGTGAAAAAACTAAACTTTATAAGGGGTGTAAAGAACATTTTCTTCTGCAGAAGTGGTGATGGGGTTGGGTAGTGTTTTTTTTTCTTCTTTTTCAGTGAACTGTGAGCATCAGCACAGAACAGGTGACAAATGGCATGTCTGTCAGTGCAAGTTTAAGGAGAGGAGGGTGTTTTTCTCTTATAACAGCAGCAGATTTCATTACATTAGCTCCAGTCACATTCTGTAACTTGAACTTCACTTGAACAGCATGTCTAACTTTAGTTAGCATTTGATTTGTGGTGTCTGCAAACATCTTGGATTGTTGGAAGCATGTTATAAAAAGTGTTTGCCTGTGTTGTGCCAAATTAAAGTCCATGTAATATTACACTGATACTGTAGTGAGCAGTATGATTAATATCGGTGTTTGGTGTCTTTGTATTTATTTTATTTTTACTACATTTGGAGGAACACGTTATCTTTAATCTTGTTATTCCTCTCTACGGTCGTTAAGCTTACATTTGTGTGCTTATCCATGTTTAAATACTAAACGTGTGATGAAACAAAAAAAGCCTTGAATAGCCATTTATTCTATTGCTCTGCATTATCACAGATGAGAGGTGCTTAACTGAAGGTGCAGGAATGAGGGAGATTATGTCACTGGGAAGTTGTCAGGCAGTTTGAGTAATGTAATAAATGTCTCATATAAGTTATGGTGATGAAAGGCATTGCTGTAACACCTGGATAAAGGCTGGATTTGATCCTCCCCTCTGTCAACTTTTCCCTAGTAGAAAAACAAAGGGGAGATTTAGGGACAATTCATGCTGCCCTGCTGTGCCAGAATTTTAGCAGCTTTGGTCTGTGAATGTCAAAAAGCCAGTGATAAGGAAGTGATTTTTTGGGCATGTGAAGAAGGGTGGAAAGCCCAATTTGATGAAGTAAGATTGACTTGGAAACGTAGTCAGAGAATAATTGAGGGGGGAAGAACTTGGGATTTATTATGTTTTCACGAACCAGTAAAAATTGGAATTGCACCACTCTGCTGTGGTGGTGCAGGTACTGCAGCTGTAGCACATTCAGAAGCAGTGGATATGATCCTTATGAGAATATCAGAAAGAACTTTGTTTTCCCCTAATAAGTGGAGGATTTCTTTGGTGTGCACTTTAAAAGGCATGTAAAACTTCAGACTTGTATTGATGTAAAAGTTAAATCTGTATTTCATTCACTTGACTTATACTGGGAGATGGGAAAGTGAGTCTGGGGAATGTTCTGAAGCTGCAGTCAGAAAATAAGCAATTTCAGTTCACATCTGAGACTAATCTCCTTGTTTCTACATCATTCTTTGTGTGGATTCAATTATTAATGCTGTCAAAAAGTGATTAATCTTGGAGCCTGTGTTTTCCGTGTGCATTTGTGTTCTGCCAGTTTAACTGCATGAGCAGCTCACTGTGAGGTCAGCTGACTCTAACTGTGGGCTGGGACAAGAGGCATTGCAAATGTGTGACAGTCCTGGTCTTTAATAGTCTACTTTACAGCATTTCTAGGGTGGACTTCCCTGCTATCCTTCAGTTTGTTCACAAAAACTGCTTGTAAGTGGCAGATAATTCTCCTTAAAATGGAAATAATTTATGAAATTATAGGAGTGAAATATTTGTGATTCATGTATTATGACTGTGAAGCTACAAATATGCTGTAGGTACTTGGGAGTAGGAAGAAAATATTGATGTACCTTTCATGTTACATTATCAAGGATGGATGCTAGGGGAGATGCACAGGTTAAGTTTTCCTCACGCAACATGAAATTAGTGTACCATCTTGTGCCATAATGAAGGATTTTAACTTCCTTTTCCTAGTAAATGAGTTCAGTTATCTCTTTTTAGTTTTTTTTAATATAATTTTTTTCTTCTTCTATACAGCTTCCAAAACACAAGTCTGTTGTGGTTACGTTAAATGATTCAGATGATAGTGAGTCTGATGGAGAGCCATCTAACTCAACCAACAGCGTATTTGGAGGACTAGAATCCATGATAAAAGAAGCAAGGAGAAATGTTGAGGTAAACTATCAATATTTAATAGGTTTATTTTGTAATTATTTTGCTTTGTTTACAGAGTTTAAACTTCTAGAGTTGAATCAAGAAACAGTTGGATTACATCGGAAAAGGGCAAGAGTAGATAGGTTACTCCTGTCTGAACCATCAAATTGTAATTTGCATAAGCTATTCATTATTTCAGTTCAAATTAAAAGCATGTTTAGTTAATGGTAAAATAAGTAGTTGGTTAAAAGTCTTGTTAATCTTGAACAGCTTTAAGTTTGTGCTGAAAAACTGTTAATAGCTGTATTTGAAACTTGCATGAGAAGTATTGACTTCAACTTTTCTTTATAAAAGGCTTCAAGAATCAAAGCTCCTCCAAAATCGGAAAAGGAAAATGATCCAATGAGAACTCCAGAGGCTCTACCAGAAGATAAGAAGATAGAATACAGACTCCTAAAAGAAGAGATTGCTAGGTACAAGCGAGTTTGATTGTTTTTAAAGTAAAACGTACATTCTTTGTAGGTGTTTGGTAGTGTGCTTTTGTGATTAGAAAAAAAATAGAGGTTTGAAGACGTTACTATTATCTACAGTCTTTCCACCATGAGTTTTTGGTAGGACAGCTGAAGGAGGTCATTAGATTCAAACTGACTTGCAGAAGATGTTTGGAGTTGTGGAAGTCTTATTCTTTAAATTGAAAGTCTTGCACTGCTGCTTTTTATTTAGAAGGTTTTAGAAGTTAGGAGTTAATGTTGAAGCTGCTGAAAATCTTTGCTTTTGACATATGTTTTAGTCGTGAAAAGCAGCGTTTAATTAAATCTGATCCACTGAAGAACAGTTCATCCCCTGCAAATTCTGATGGTGAAGTTGATGGAATTGGGAGAATAGCAGTAGCAACAAAACAAGTTACTGAAGCAGAAGCAAAGCTGAAGAGAAACAAGTGAGTCTCTTTCACTGTCACATGTCCTGCCTTGTTTGCTTAGAATGATGAAAGCTCTAAGTATGTGTTTATTAATGTGTAGTCACTGAAGTACAGCAAGCATTTTTTTTTTTTGTTGTCTTTAGTTGTTGAACCTTGAATTCTGTTGCTATACAAAAGGAGCTATGTTGAAGGGCAAGTTTGGTGTTCAAACCTATTTACAAGTTATTACTCACAGTAACAGTGTTCAGCTGTTTTTACATTCAGTGACTAGAACTTTATCTGTTCTTAATAACTCTAAAATAGGGGAAAGGGAGTATGGTTTTTTTCTGGTCAGTACACTTGGAGGATAGTGTGTTTCAATTAGATATTCTTGATATAAATGAGTTAGTATTTTCTGCAGGTTAGGCATGCTGTTTAAAGCTTTTCCTGTACACCTTTTCTTTTAGTATGCCTCTTCCATGCTTCTCACCCTTCCTTTGCCATGGCAAACATCATAGGTACTTTGCATCCTACATTTTGTTTTCATTGTTGCTTTATGATGTGTGGACTGGTGAGGAAACTGACTTGTGTTCAGATGTATATTGAAACATGTTCATCCCCCTTCCTTTACTTAATTCCATCTCTTCTTCCTTTATTTACTTCCATCCATCAAATTCTTCATCTTTGATTACTCTACTGTTCTTTAAAGCTACATCTTGCAATGTCTTGAGGTGTTACATGGCCTAGGAAAGAATTGGGTTGCTGAGTAACACAAGGCAACAAAATGTGGTTTTTGGATGTCAAAAAGAGTATTGAAGATAGGCCACTTCTTACCTTTCTCTGTTCAGCAGTAGAAATCTGGTGAAAACTTGGAGACTGAATTATTTTATGTAATATCAGCACTTAATGTTAAGACTATTTGGAGACACTTAGGTCTTTGCTAGAAGTGTTGGTAAGCATCACTCTAAACACAACTTGGTTTCTAAATAGAACAGTGATATCTCCAAGAGATGTCTCTGGAAAATAATGTTATGTGTCTTTTTCTAGACTTCTGTTGATGAAGGATGAATCTGTCTTGAAACATTTGTTGCAACAAGAAGCCAAGAAAAGAGAGAATGTTCGAATTGCTGAAAATAAAATTAACAAACTGGCTGAACAACTACAGGCAACAGAGAAGATCTTGAACGCTAATAAGATGTTTCTCAAGAAGCTTCAGGAACAAGTAAATTCTGAATTTCTGTTAATTGTAACTAGAAAATTTAGAGTAGGAAGCTTTGTTGTTTGAACACAGTAGGCTTGCTTTGGAGGCATGATTAATTCCCATGTGTTTTCTAACTGTATTTTATTGTCTGATCATATCTGGAAACTTGCTTTTTTTTTTTTTTCTCCTCCAGATTCATAAAGTTCAACAGCGAGTAACAGTCAAAAAAGCTCTGGCATTAAAATATGGGGAGGAACTTGCTCGAGCAAAAGCAGTAGCAAGTAAGGAAATTGGGAAACGAAAACTGGAACAAGAACATCTTGGAGTAAGTCTGTGCTGTTAAACAGTGCTCTTAAACTATGTTCTTAAAAAGCAGTAGCAATTTTGATTACGAAACCTTTTTCAGATGGAATTTCAGTAAAAACAGGAGAACGTTTTAGAAGCACTGGAGGAATCTTCCTAATTTTTCTTCTGTTTTTGAGAAATCAGTAGTGGGGAAAACAAACAAACAAAAAATAAAATTGTTCATAGCCAACATATATTTGCCAGAGCAATGTCATTAAGATACAGATTCTGTTATTTTTCTGTCTGTGAAGAAAGGAAATTGCTGTCTGTAGACATTAACCATCTCATTATGCTATCTACCAAAGGCACTGAAGTGGGTTTTTTGTTACTTTACAAATTATGAAAGAACCAGGCCTCTATGCTTGCCTGTGTACTTCTGCAAATTTTTCTTTTTCCTGTGGATACTTGTGTTGTAGTTCACCTTCTAAATATGCTCAGAACTTCTTTTTAAGCCTTGCACAAGATGTAGTGTAATCTGTATTGGAAAAACCTGCATAGATGCCAATTGATTTGCAAGAGACTTTTTGGTGGTTTTCCTGCTGTTTTTTTTTGACGTTTTCTTGGCAAGGGCATGAGAATATTTTTATAAACTCTTGAGTTAAATAACTTGCCCGTGTTTAATTTGCCTCCTGTCAATACATCAGTAAATGTGAAAATGAAATAAAGGGATTTTTTTTTCTTTTCAGCCAAGCAAAATGTTGAAATTGGAGAGCTCCCCTGCATCAAGTCCAAAAAAGCATTCAGCAGAACTGATTGCATTAGAAAAAAGACGACTGCAGCAACTGGAGTATGAGTATGCTTTGAAGATTCAGAAATTGAAAGAAGCTCGGGCACTTCAAACCAAGGAACAATCCGATATTGCACCTCAGGCAGATGAGGAAGCTGAATTTGCATTACCTCAGCCATCACTTCATGATCTTACCCAGGATAAATTGTCTTTGGACAGTGAAGAAAACTACTTTGATGATGAGGTGCTGTCTAATTCAAATCGGGAACGAAGGAGATCTTTCAGAGAATCTAGTTCTTATACTAAGCCAAATCTTAAACACATGGACACTCCAAAACAAGAACCTATAAACAAACTTTCAAAAAAGGCAGCAGAGGAGCCTGAGCTTTTCCTTGGGTTGAATGTTGATGAACTGAAAAAACTTTATGCTGAAGCTGACAGTTTAAAAGAACTGTTAGTGAAAAGTACTGCCTTTGTAGCACCTAAGGAAGATCTCTTATGTGGTCAGGTAAACACTTGAAATATGAATGTGGCTTTTATTAGGTTGTATTGCACTTGCTATACATCTTTTCATCTGTTTTCTAGGAAATTTCAGTGGATATGGATTTTGTTACATCACAGAATAAACAAACTGAAGCAAAACCATTTCCATTTGGACCATATCGTAGTCCTCTTCTAGTATTTAAATCCTACAGGTACGGAGACACTTAACAGCTGTTTAACTTGTGTATGTACACCTTTTTAAAGAAGTCTACACTGCTTTTCAGTGATAACCAACACGTGTACAGAAAGGTGAATTGTGATGAGAAACATGACTCTCTTGAAGCAATTTTCTTTAACTAGGAAGCTTAGTGATTGAAATTCTCCATGGGGGAAAAGAGAATATTAGAGCAGAATCTGTGTGGAAATACTATTCCATTCCATCTCCTTTCATCTGTTTTCCACCTATGTCTTACACTATGCTATTATACTGCTATATATACTACAGGTCACTGCTGATTTTGGTTGGAAGTAGGGTTTTGGAAATACTGAGATTTAGTACTAAAAAAAAACTGGTTATTTTTTCAAAATGTTTAATTGGTGTCTCAGTTTGTATGCTCTGTCACAATAATTCATTATTTCATTTTAGGTTTAGTCCGTATTTTCGAACCAAGGAAAAATTGTACCTCAGTTCAGTAACTTATAGCAATATGATCGAGCCAAAGCAGTGTTTCTGCCGCTTCGATTTAACAGGCACATGCAATGATGATGACTGTCAGTGGTGAGTACTATTCCATTTGATTCATAGATGTCTGATTTAAGACCAAAATAGGGAGGGTTTTCTTCAGAAGGTCTCCATGTAGGGTTTTAAGGGCAAGTTTTAGAAAAGAAAGTTGGTTTTAATATCCTATTGCAAATACGTAGTTAGCAGTAAAAATAATTTGGAATCTTGCATCTGAACCGTGAACAGAAATGGCTTTTTAGATAGAATTTTTTATTATTAAAAAGTGAGACTATTAGAGAATATTTTACCTTTTGATTACCTTGTAATTCAGATAAGGCTCTTCTTACCTAGAGCTTTGGCATAACATTAGGCCATCATAAATCTTCAGGTGGTAATGGATAGTGTTAATCATGGTAGAAGTATATTATGCAGCAAATGGACATAGGGTACATAGCAAATATTAAGTGAATATATAAGAAAATAGCATTGTGGTAGAAAAATTCCGGTTTTCTGGTAAAATACTGGCTAAGTTACTGTGCTCCTTTGAAGCTTGGTGTTAAATCATATTAAAAATACTTTGTTAAACAGCATTACGCTGTGTGGTGTAAGAAATTAGCAGAACAACAACTCGATATGTATTGGCCACGAGTAAATCCAGTTTGAAAACTGGAAAAATATTATAGGAATGTACTTAGCTCTTTTTTTACAGCAAAAAGGGAAAGCTTTTTTGAATCAACCCATAGCTATTATAATCAAATCATACTTCAGATCCTTTAAATGCAAGGGGATATCTTAATTGTTATAACTAACCTATTTGAACTGGGAAGTTTTAAACACTGTGTTCCTCTGTTAGTGCAAAGCAAGTGTGTAGAATCTTATTCTAATGAGCAAGGCTGTGTTGAAGTAATGAAGACCAGGATTAAGTTACTGATGTGGACTTAAGTTCAGAGAAGGCCCAGAGAAACATCTAAGGGAAATTTCAGAACAGACTGTGTTATTAATCATGGAGATCATTTTCTTTATGCCTCACCCTTGTGTGTACTAGTAACAACTTTCTAATTATGGACTTTATTAAGTTGTTGCTGTGATAAACATTTTAATTGCTTTTTTGTTTATTTTAGGCAGCACATGAAAGATTGCACTCTTAGCCGAAAGCAGCTGTTTCAGGATATTCTGTCTTACAATTTAGAACTGATTGGCTGTTCAGAAAAAAGCACTGATGAAGAAATCAGCACTGCCACAGGTTTTTAAGAAATTTTTGCTTGCTTATGTATTTAAAGATTTATTTCTAAAGGGCAGTAGTTTCCATTAGAAGTTCTGGGAGCAAGTCTTTTTTATGTAACGCAATGTGTAAAATACTTCTCTAGTTGCCCAGTTCAGTCCTCAGTAGTGGCTTTCTACAGTTGTGGTTTGTAGAATGTTTCACTCAAAAGACTGCTGTGGTTCCGTGGATGGAGCAGAACTTGGGATGAGGTCTTGCCCTCTCTTCTTCACATGTGTTAAATTAGCATACCTCTTGAAGCAGTTGTATTTCATTAATTAAGCATAGATTGTGTTAAATTGCTGGTAAGTTACCTGTCTGCTTGTTTACCTACCTAAGACATGAATGTTCTTGTTCCAGAAAAATATGTTGAAAAGCTTTTTGGTATAAACAGAGACCGTATGTCAGTAGATCAAATGGCTGTTCTTCTGGCCAGCAATGTCAATGAGAGTAAAGGTCATAGTAAGTAACTTTCTTGATAAATTAAATGTTGTTTTGTTTTGTTTTGTTTTTTGTAATTACATTAGTATTTTGACTTTTTCAACCAAGAATATTCCCTTTTGTGTGTCAATTTTTTTTAGTTTAATTATACTTCTGATAGATTAAAGAACAGAACTTGTTTTAAGGCCATAATATAATAGTTGTATTAGTTTTTTAGTTTTATTAGTTCTATTAATTTTTTTTTCCCAATCAAAAATACGACTTAAGCACTTGAGAACTGCAGATATAAATAAGCTCTATGAAAACTTGTACATTTATATTGCATTTGTGGAATGTTTTTATCTGAAATATTCATTGGCAAAGATATTTCAATCTTGTCTAGAAAAAGTTAAATGAAACTTCTATTGCTTTACTTGTTTACAGCACCTCCGTTTACAACATGGAAAGATAAAAGGAAATGGAGACCAAAGTACTGGAGAAAACCTCTGCTAGATAGCAGCAGTAGTGAGGAGGAACAGTCTGTTGGACCTATTAAATATGGTAATTCAGAAGCATGGCATCCATTAAAAAAGAATACTGGGGAGAAAAACAGCAGTCTCTTCCCAACACCCGATATTTAAAATGATTCTTAAAAAACCAGTGTTGTCTTCAGCTCTTTTGGCTTCTTCCTATTTTCCTGTATGTAGACATTCTTACATTCCTTCTTCATGTAACTTTTCTCAAAGTTGACCTTAATGGGTGGGGCTTAAGAAAAAGCAAAAAAAAACACAAAAAAAGCAAACAAAACCCAACAACAAAACAGCAACAAAAAAAAACATCAACAAACTGGTATAAAGTGTGATTAGAAGCTTAGATGGGATTTCTGCCTATCTTTTCATGAAAGGGAACATTGAGATCCCTGGAATGTTACAGCTTCACCAGAAGATGTTGTCTTTTTTTCCCCCAGAAGTATAGAAAGTAGCACACTTCATCTGTTAGCTTAAACTTGCACAGTGTTGATCATAAGTGATGAGATCAGGAGGTAAAAAGCAAAGCTGCTCTTTAAACATAATTTGAGACTTGGAAGCTTGCTTGAGCATCAGTAACCTGAAATATGACTTATCATTGAAGTGGGAGCTTTGGGATTTCTTGGCATCCTCTGTATTCCTGTATAAATGTTTTTTGAGATAATCCTTTTTTTGACATTAGATGTCCATTTCTTAAGGACACTTAGTTGGTGTCTTTTGGCCAAAGAAGCAGTCTTTATTGCTATTTACTTCTTGTCTTCACATGTTAAACATAACCAATTTTCTACATGTTACACAGTTCTAAATTTTTAAGATGCTGAAGTAATCATATTTTGTTCTTGGCTATGGCTACACTTAGTATATAGAAATGTCACTCCTCGTATGAAATGTATAGTGACAAGTCATTTCTGTTTTGAAAAGATTCTTTTTTCATTTCCAGCCCACCCTACAGAACATAAGAAAAGAATTCCAGCTCTTGATACTGTTGTGACTCCAGATGATATCCGATATTTTACAAGTGAGACTGATGACATTTCCAACTTGGAGGCAAGCGTCCAAGAAAACCCCTGCAATGTACAGCTTTGGATTAAACTTGCATATAAATACTTGAACCAAAATGAAGGGTAAGTCTGCTTTTACATTTTAGTTTTATACCTTACCCATGCAGAAAAGAAGCTTTATTACAGTTGATGTTAAGGAACTTTATTTAACAAAGATACAACTAATTCATCTCTTAAAAGCAGATTAAAAGAATACAAGGGCTACTGTTAAAACAATGCTTCCTATTTTATTATGTTGGCCCCTCATATCAGAGGCAGATGGTGCTGATATGGAGCAAAGGTATGTCACTGAATTCCTCTATGTGGAAAAAATGGTACCCTTTGACATTCATTGATGCTTGCTGTACATGTTCATGGAGACCAAACAGAAGATGTGATCATAGTGATGTTGTGGGTGATGCATTTTAGCAGTGGTGACAATGAGAGTAGGTCAACTGAAACATGTAGGATAGAAATGCAATAGTCAACGTACAAAGAAAATACTTTCAGTCTGAAGAGAGCATGCTTTCTAAGTTATAAGCATAGTAAGAAAAAGACTTAAAAAAGAAGGGAGGAAACATAATGGAAGATAAAGTTTTTCTTAGCCTATAGTAGGTCTGTTTTTCAAATACTATCATTTCAATTTTCACAGCTCATCATCAGAGTGTTTGGATTCTACTCTAAATGTTTTGGCTCGAGCTCTTGAGAACAACAAAGAAAATCCTGAGATTTGGTGTCATTACCTCAGACTCTTCTCAAAAAGAGGAACAAAAGAGGAGATACAGGAAATGTGTGAAACAGCAGTGGAGTATGCCCCATCCTATCAGATATGGTGGACAGTAAGTAAAAAAAAGTCAAATGTATGCATTTCCTACTGTAGAAATTGTTAAATAGGAAAATGCAATTTGTCTAAATAAGCCAATAGAACAGCTTGTGAAAGTTCTGTTCACAGTGAAGTAATTCAAAGTTCTACTTGCAGAATGTATGTAGAAATAGTCACTTTTTTTCTCAGGAGAATCAGTCATTTAGAATCAAGATGTTTAATTTTGCTTTTTTTATATAAGTTTGCAAAAATTAATGTTCACAAGGACATTGGAAGTTGATCATTAAACATTTTAAGTGTTTTCTGAGGTTTTGGTATGTGGGGAGAGGGAAAAATTGTTTATAAGGTGATAAAATACATTATTCAAAGTATGTCATTCATGTTGTTTTAAACTTTAACCTTGAAGTTCCGCAAGTATTTTTCTTAATGTAAATTATTTTTCTCTAGTTCTTGAATTTGGAGAGTTCCTTTGATGGAAAAGACTATGTATGTGGGAGGATGCTGCAGTTCCTAATGGAAGTGACTGAGGGAGAGGAAAATCCCAATCTCTTATCGTTCCAGCTTCTGGAGACTCTGCTGTACAGAGTTCACTTAAGCTTGTTTACAGGAAGATACCAGAATGCTCTTCTTCTGCTGCAGGTAACTTCCAAGTTACCACCCTAAGATTTGTCTTTGTACCTTCATGCTGTTGCATCTTATATTTGCTAGAGGAAGTCTCCTAGGGACTTGTCTTTTAAAACACAATATAATTATAAATTTGCATATACATTTAGTTTCTTTGTTGCATGTTTTCTGTTGCATTGGGTTGTTAATAAAGGTAGGGTGTTCACTATGCTTCATAATACTTCTAGTTGCTTTAGAATTGCTTTAGTTTCTGGTTAGCAGTAGAATGCTTCTCTAGGGACCTGTGAATTCTGTCTCAGGTATTCAGATGTGTTTTTTTTGCTACAGAAATGGTCAAATCATTTCTTTTTTTTTTTTTTTTTTGTTTTTTGGAAGATCATAGTGGCATGTTGTTTTGTATTTTTGCACCTGCTTCAAAAATTGGGGAGTGTTATCTCAGGCATTGGAGATCCTGTAAACTGCAAAGTTTTATCTCAGGCTTTTATTATTACTTAAAGAGAATTCAGGTTGCTGTTGCTGACCTGTAGTCCACAAACTGGGAAAGAAGGTGAGAAGAGTCCTGAAAGTTGGAGCTGTGGTAATTTCAACCACGAGTTTTTCATTCCTGCCAGCAGGGGGCATTTATTGCTTGCTGTATCTTAAAGCAATTTTCTTGGTTGTTTTAAGGCTGTTAACGTTTTAGTCTAGCTCAGTTTTAAATAAAAAATTATAATGCTTTGTTGACTTACTCCAACAGCTGTTCTGAAGGCAGTAGTACTGATAGTTTGGTTTGTGTTGTGCTGAAATGGAAGTCTAGAGTACATGAGGAGAGAACGTGGGTTGGTTTCTCTTACCTTTACTCAAAGTGTTACACCAAAGCACTTCTTTGTGGATGTGTACCTGTAATGTGTCACTGAAAAAGACTGTAGTGAGGAGGAGTTACTTAACCTTATTTAATAAGAAAAAAATTCCAGGTAAAAGTACTACTTGAAATTGAGTGGTAATAATTCTCTTTAGAAACTCGAAACAAAATTTTCTAAAATATTTTGAAGAGTGGATAAATGAAATGTTGTTGAAACTTCAATTTTCACCTCTTACTCAAGAAATACTGTGAATTTTGCCTGAATTTTCAAGTATTTTTATTTCCTTTGAAAGTGCATTCTTTGTACTACATTTTTGGAGAAAAAAGGTTGGCGTACCTTTAGCCATGACATTCTGTTCTGCTTCAGGAGTAGCTGTGTTTAGATTTTGTCTCATTGCTTGCTCTAATGATTTTATTTGAGATCTCGCAGTATAACTGGGCTGTTTTAGTTTTGAATGTGATTGTTCTAAAAAGTGTATTGGAAATATTAGTGAGAAGCAGAGAACTGCGTGAAAATGCATTGGAAGATGCAACATTTCAAAATCATTCTTTGCAAAATTCTCAGCAGTTTTTCTAAAACAATTAGTAAAAATTATATAGTTGTGTATTTCTTGAATATAGTCACACACTCACTAAGCCAAATTTAATCTTGATTGGGCATGAATTATTTCCTGTTCTCCATAGGAAAGATTTGGAACATTAGAACTTTTCCTGTTTCCTTTCCTCATACCTAAAAGATTATATGGTTAAAACATAGAATGTATTTCTTCTAACCTTTACAGAATGCTTTAAAATCAGCAAATGAAAAGATAATATCAGAACGCCTTACTTCAAGTGACCGTTGCTTGGCTTGGCTGTCTTACATACATTTAATTGAATTCAACATTCTCCCAGTCAAGTTCTATGATCCAGCTAACGTCGGTCCCTCAAGGATAATGAACAAAGAGCCATTTCTAATACCGTGGCAAACAGTTCAAGATGTGAAGACTGATCCTGATACACTGTTAGCTATGTTTGAAGGTAAGATTAAGGGGGTAAACTACTCAATGCATTACTCACTTTTTTGCAGTTGAAAAAATATTATGCAACTTCAGGAATTTCATTGGTGGTGTGATATTGCTGCTGTGTTAAACCACTGGGATTAAATCCAGTGCATATTTCATCTTGATTTGAACAGAAGAATAAGGAAACTCCATGGTTTGGGTACTTAATACCTGCACTTTTTCATCTGTGGTTGAAAGCTGTAGCTTTTCTTCTCTGAGCTATGATATTGTAGCAAGATAGGGAACAGTAGCTTGTGACAGCATGCCACTGCTTCTTTTTGTAGACTTAAAAAAGCCAGGCTTCTGTGCTCATTACCTCTCTCTTTCCCCCCCATCCCTAGTGGGGCATATCAATTGGAAAGCTATTTTACTAGAAGATTATTATGCTTCCTTAGAAGATGCAGTGCAAAGCCTCTGTTTGTCTTCATTTGGAGTTTAAATAAACAGAGTAATTTTTTAAAAGATGTCTAATGAAGATACCAGAAGAAATGAAATTGACTTAGGCACTGCCTGGGGAAGACTTTATACTGGTGTTGTTTGAATGTCAGTACTTAGTGTGTTAGCTTCACTAATATTGAACTGTTGTGGAGTATAAGTATGCTGCAGTTGATAATAGGGTGTGCAAGTAAATATTCAAGCATAATCTTTGTAGGTAGACCTGTAGGAGTGGAAGTAGTCTAGCCATGATAATGTGTTGTTTAGTATTGGAATTTAGTAACTTTGTTTTTCTTAACGTAAAAAGAATTTCCCCCTGTTAGTTCTTGCCTCAATAGAACTGATTTCAGCAGCTACACTGGAATTACTGCTATGTAATTCTAAGTAGGTGATATCCTACCAGTGAACTACTCAAGCTGACAGTATGTTTCCTGTACTATTTGAGTTTTTGTTGTTTTTAAATGAATGAGGGATGAAACTCCTGAAAGACTTTTTTTCATTCTTATCTTCATTGTGATACATTAATGAAAAAAACCTGAACTTTTCCAGCAATAATCATCTTCCTGTTTTTAGTAACGCAAAAGAGCATTGCTGAGAACTTCCCATGCTTTTGTGATTTTATGACCAAGGGATAATTTTTGTGATGTTAATGTTTTAAGTAACACTTGATATTACTTGAGGTCTAAGGTCTTAATTCTAATGTTTTTGTTTTGAAGATGCAGTCAAAACGTGTACTGATGAAAGCCTTGAGGCTGACAAAAGAATAGCTGTATGCTTTCCTCTCTATAGGAACATGATAGCTTTATTGAAACTTCTTGAGAGGTAAGATGTTTCCAGACACTTCCAGTTAGGAGTGCTCAACTCCACTTTTTTAAACATAACCTTTATCTTTTACTTTAGGTGGGAGTCTGCAGCAGAACTTTGTAGATCTTTATTGGAGCTCTGCCCTGACAACTGTCTGCTCTTGGAGAGTTTGGCCACCTTATATTTGCAGATGGAGCAGAGTGAAAGTGCCTATGGAGTGTGGATTGGAGCATTTGAGAAGAGTCCTCAGAATGCAGAAATTTTTTATCAGTTGTGTAAATTTCTTATATCACAGGTAATAATACCCAGCCCCAAAAGTGTCTCTGGCCTGCTGGCTTTATAAAAGTTTTGGGGGTTGTATGTCATTTCAGACACTTATTCAAACTGATTAATCTTCATGGTATTTTTGTAATGTCTTGTTTTTCTTTATATGAATTTAATATAGAACTGTAAAGATTAGTGACAAGATTTAATGTAACCAAAGGAATTGTATGCATGGATAAACTTACACCTCAAACTGTTCTAATCCAGTGTTAGTATCCTTATGAAAGAATAATAGTAACAGCAGAGTGCTGTAAGAAGTTTTCCTTTTTTTTCCTTCTACTTGCTGACTGACTTAAACATTATTTTTGAGAGATTGAAGCAAAGGAGTATTACAGAGATAGACAGCGCTTAATAAATATTATGCTTAAATTTTTCTTGTCAGCTTCAGGTTTATGTCTGATTTAATTTTTTTAATTTAAAAAACCACCAAAAAACAGGAAAGGTCAGGCAGTGTTCTTCCACTGTTGCAAGATTTTGTGGCAGCTTTCTTTGAGAATACCTACCAACAGCATGATTCCATGGATCTCTTAAGGTATGTTTATGATACTTTCTGTGCAAGTTTTGGTAATACTGACATTTTCTTGAAAAACAGGACAGTCTGTAATTCTTTTGCTTTCAGCTTGGCAAACCTTAGTAAAACTTCAGAGAATTATGCTGTGATATTTTCTAAGGTTTGTGTAAGTTGTTTGTGCTTTCATAACTAAATTGCAAAGCCATAAGATGAAAAAAAGACAAAACAGGCAGCAAGTTATGGGGAAAATGGGCATCAGTCAAATATGTTGCATCCCTAAGTTGCTTTTTCAAAGCTGGAAGCAAAAAACTTCGTGTGTCAAACCTGTTATTTAGGGCATTTACAAAAGGCCTCCATTCAGAGCTCCATGCTTTTCATGAACAACTGTTGTTGCTGAAAAGGTGCAGGTTGGTAACCAGTCTGCTGAATCTCCATCTAAAATTCAGGCACCTACTTAACTGTAGGAAGCTTGCATACGGAAATCTTGAGGAAGTCCATAAAAGTTAGCTGCCTTTGAAGGCTTTCAAAGGCAGATCTTATTTGCTGAAGCTTAAATGTAGATAAGGCCGTGAAATGTTTTTATCTTTTTTATCTCCAAGTTGGGTGTTATGTTTTTATTCCTGGTTATGTTTGTTTACATTGAATTTAATATTGGTAGTGCAGTGTAGCTGATGGTAGGTAGGTAATTGTATCCTAGGTTTTGATGTATTTTATGGGGTAGTTGTGCCAGAGAAAGAAACATTTCTCACATCATCACATAATGGAATAGAATGCTTTGTATACAAAGTATTTCTATAATTTTATGGGATACTTTCTTACATCTTTCTGGGCAGAATTAATCTCTAAAAACAGTAGATGCATCTCTTTAATACATGTCGTGAATTAAGATTCTACACTAAATGATATGTCTCTGTAGGAATCTTCTGAGGAAAGGGATGTTACCATTTATTACCACTTTTTCTCTTTTAGATATCTCTTGAATTTTCCAATGCCGATTGAATTTACAGCACCTCTCTATAAAGAGCATCTTACAGATGACATTGTAAACCAGCAAATCCCATATCTTTGGCAGATATACTGGTGAGGCTTTCTAAAGTATTTCTGAAAAACAGCTGGTGGGTCTGAGTAAATGGAGTTTTCAGTTGCAGAACATTAATCATTTACTGAGGGTGTGCCCCTTCAGGTTTTGTCAGAGCACTCTTAGTATGTAAAAGAATTAATAAGAGATACAAGAATAGAAAACAATTTGAGAGTTGCATTTTAAACTGTATAGGTTGTGTTATTCCTTGTAAGCAGTTGAGATTTCCCCACTTTAATGTGCTGCCTGATAAAATCAGTCCGTTGTGCATTTCAACCAAAAAGCAGTTTTCAGTTTATCTCAGAATTCGAAAGCTTTGTTTCTAACCCTTAAAAGTGTATGCATTGTGTAAATAACATATAACTTTTTCTTTTAACTTCTAATATAAACAGTTTGTGCCAGTCTCTTCACGCGAGTGTTAGTGAAGCACTGGATGCTTATGAAGCAGCTCTTGGTGCAGTGATGCAGCAGGAAATTGTTCAGAACATCTGGCTGGAGTAAGTTGTTAGGGGAGGAAAGTAGTTTAATCTCCAAACTATTCAGTGAAGGCCACCAGAACTATCTTTTTTTTCCTTTTCTTCCAGTTATCTTGTTTTTATGAATAACAAGGTTGTTGGATCCAGCAACAAAGTTCAAGAATTCAAGGTTTTTACTGACTTAGTGAACAGATGTCTGGTTACGGTCCCCACACGATACCCAATTCCTTTTAGTGCTGCTGATTATTGGACCAATTACGAGTTTCATAACAAGGTAAAAACACTTGCATGGGTGTTTTTAAACCAAACAAAAAGACTGATATCCTTTTTACAAGTATTTCTAATTGTCAAAATACAGCACTGGTACTATATGTGCACTGGCACATGAACATGAACTGGCACACTGGAATTAATAAAAAAAGTAATTGGAGAGTATAGTGTTCCAAGCAGGAAAGTATCTAGCAGTGACTTCTTGAGTAGAGGATAAGAGAAGCGTAAATAAGTGATATGTTTTGATATTGTGTAGATACAGCTCTTAATGGCAGACTATTCTTTATTTGTGAAAAGAGAAACTGTGAAGGAGAGACGAGGTGGTTGAGCAAAAGGGGTCTGCAGAGCTCTAACACTGAAGGATGGAAACAGTATTTAAGCTGTCAGTTTTTATTACAGTGGTTGAGAAACAAAAGAAATAGAATAGTAAGGGAAAGATCAAGATGAGCACGTCAGTGAGTTTTATTCTGGATCTGTAAATCCTATCTCCCATTTTGCTAACACTCAGTGCGTTTCCTTTTGCTTACTAAATATGAGCTGGAAGGACTGAAATATTAGTGGCATTAGCTTCTGTGTGAATTGATTTCTGTACCACTGAGGGGATAAGATTTTTGGGTGTTAAATTATTTTGGTCACAAAGTTTGTAGTTTACTTCTCCGTTAATCTTGGCAAAATTAGACACCTATAAAGCAGATGAATGTTTATAATTCAAATTTTACAGGTAGTTTTCTTCTACTTGAGCTGTATTCCGAAATCTCAACATTCCAAAGCTTTGGAAAGGTTTTGTTCTACCATGCCTGCTAATCCTGGACTTGCACTGAGGTATGTAGAAATACGTGTAATCAAGGTAAACACTTACTACTACTTTGTACAAGATGCATGCGATTTGATTTCTACTAGAAGAATGAAACCTCTTCCTCGTATTGCATTTTTTTGAGGTATATTGTGCTTTCTGACATCTTCTCAATCTCTTTCTAGTATTTTACAGACTTCCAGTCTATTTACAGAGTATATAATTACATAGGAACTGTTAATAAATTTATCCATTTTGCACATGAGTCAAAATGTCAACATTTCAAGTGTATGGAGAGTATTAGTGGTATATTAAAATCTTGTGTTTATTATAAGTGTAGTTCCAATGTGGAGCAAAATAAAATGGATATACCAGTATATAACAGTGTTACCTGAAGGCTTGGTGCACTATAGCGAAGACAAATCACTTTAGAAGGTGATTTCCAAATCATTTTGGAAAGATCTTACGGGAAACAAAAGCAATTAAAGTGAACATCATGCTGACTGTTGCTGAACATTTCAAAACATTCTTCCGTATTCTTCATTCTTTCCAGGATTAGGAAGCTTGTATCAGTGCATTTGGCTGCTGTGAATTCACAAACATTCTGTTGAATAAGTTTGATCAGTGCCTGAATGCTTACTGTTTGTCATCAGTAGGGGCTGCTGAGATTTCAAAGCTAGATGTTAAAGAAGCGTGTTGTTGGCACAGGGAGAGAGTATGACACCTACCTTTTGGTGTAGGAAGGTGAATGGCTGCATTTTAAACCAAGTTGCAATTCTGTTGAGGTGGAGCTTACAGCTTCCTTAGACCAAGTTGATACTGCATGAAATGGGTGAGCAGAACTGGCTGCACGGTAGCTTGTAGTCACAGCAGAAGTCATTTGTCTTCCTTCAAATGAACAGTTGCTGAAAACAAATCTTGTACTGTGCCAAGATCATATTTTTTCTCTGATTTTATACTGTGTAGTTACTCTCCTGACGTGCATCTTTTTCTGAAAACATTCTCAGTCAGTACTGTGTGTGATGCCTTGCCTCTTTTTCCTGCCTGCAGCTCTTGGTTGAGATTAGGTATAATATATTTTGTATAACGTGTTTTTATCTTTGCGTTGCTGTTCTGCTTCCAGTGATTAGAGCAGTGTTCCTTTCTCATGAATGCCTTTTACAGACTACTTCTGCGGTACTGGGAGGAGAGCAATGTTCAAATTCTGAAACTGCAAGCCAAGATGTTTACATATAATATCCCAACATGCCTGGCCATCTGGAAAATGTAATGCTACAGTCATACATCTGTTTTCATAGATATTACTTTTGTTTATAAGGTTTACATCACAAAGGTAAATCTGAAACATCCTTCAAATTGGGCTTGTGCTGGAAGTCTCTCATTATTTTATTTAAGCAGTTACTTTGTTGCAACAGACAAGGTACTGTCTTGTCTTTACAGTTACAAGTGAATGGAATTTCCCTCTTGGAGAAGCTTATGTGAATGGATATTATGCAGATAAAGATGATGTATTTACAAGTTGCCTTTTTTAATTCAACTATTGACTTCTGTCTCCTCCTCTCTACCCTCCCCTTTATATATCACAATAGCAGTAATCTCCATTATCCAGTGATGCTGAACTGATCTTTTTCTTCAGTGTTTGTTCATAATGGGGAACCACTGAAATGTCTTGCTCATGTAAGATTGTTTTTAAAAAATGGCTATTTCTATCTTTTCACTGTAGATTAATATCATTGGAAGTTAGTCAGTGTCTTCACAAGGAATTTGTAGATCCATTCCACATCAGTATTTTGCCGATGATGGCACTTGAAAGAATTCAAGAATAAATATTTTTGTTTCTTTTTCTCAGAGCCATTGCTGCCGAGTGCTTTCTAATGGGACAAAGAGAAGTAAGTCAGTGCGCTTTACTAAAATGAATAATTATGAAGTTCTGTAGGTTTGTTTGTTCCTCTGCTTTATGTACATCAACGGTGCTCTTAAACTCAAGGTTTCTTGATAGTTGAAATATTCTGTGTATAAACACAGAAGCATTTGCTTCAAGTGTGAGAGATACCTTCAGCAATTGAAGTAGAAAGGATATTTTATATTTCTGATACTATTTGTATCTTTCTTCTGTTGGGGAACCTGTGTTCTACTTTTTGTTTAACCCAGAGGAGATGACTAGCATTTCAAATACAGTAGGGGGATAAAAGGTTTCTTGTGCTGGAAGTTGTTAACAACTACTGTTTACAGGAGTTGGAATGGTTGTTCTGCCAAACACATGTATGTAGAGAGCTTAAGTAGTGATTTCCCTGAAAGCTATCTGCTTTTTTCCTCCTGAAATAATGAATAGTATATAGTATTTGTGTGGAGAGTGTTTTTATCCCTCTGTACACAAATAAGTGTTTTTCGGCACAGCAACACAGTTACTTTTCAGCTCAAACAGAATGGATCTTCCTGGTGTTATTGCTCTCACCCAGAATGTTCTGCTCGTGAAAAGTTGCTTTGTATTAAAGGGGATCCAGGAGGCCCTGGGTTTGTGACTCACCACTTGGTTGTGGCATTTCTGAGCTACTTCTCTGTGGTTTCACATTACGTGTCATTTTTTGTAGAGCCTCCTTCTCAGCACCCTTCTCTTCTGTCAGTAGTTTTTCGTTTAAAACAAAGCTTTAACTGATATATAATAGGTAGCATGGCTACTGTTATAGTCAGTTATGAAGTCTTTTTCCCTTTTTACCGTCTCTTAGTGTCATGAAAAAAAAATACCCCCAAGTAGGCAGTTATTTAGTTGATAAGATCAAATAATTCAGTCAGGAGACATGAAAGGCATGGTTGCATACTCAACCTTAATTCTGTCTCTGTATTGATGATTTTGTGTCATCTGCAATTAGTCACAGATCCCTGCTTCAGTCATTGTATTAGGAGGACTACGTTTTCAGGCACTATGTACATTACAGCAAGGCTGACTTAGAAGGTCACTGCTTTATTTAGTTATACAATTGGAAAAATGTTTCAAATTAATTCAGAAGAGGGCTCTCAAAAAAGATGAACCAATTAGAAGTAAATCATATGTAAAATATTGTGGTTAGATTACACCCAGAAGAAGTCGTATAGCTTTCTACTGCAACTACCTCACTAACCATGTGAAGTAAAATCACTTAGGCACACAAAATGCAGTTGGTATTTTTTAGGGACAGGAAGGTGGAAGAGAGGGGAGAAATGCCCAGTTAGGGCTGTAGTGAGCACTTTGACAACTACACAGACCAGTGACAGTTGCAGATGACTGTAATTTATTGTAAACAAGTAAAATATTGTTTGGAGAGTGGGTTATGATTCAGATTCTGGATTTTCTATCTCTGGAGAACCTGTCATTCCCTTCAGCAGCTCATTTATAGGATTGCTGAGAGAATATACGAACGGTTATGAAAGTTTTAAATGCTAACAAACCCCTTCACCAATTACACTCTGATTAGGGTTGGTTCTTGCAATAGCAATAGTTGAAGGAGGCTTCTGTAGATGTCTGCATTAAACCTTTTTGGTTCTCTTAGTTCCAGATGTACAATGGTTTAAAAAACAACAACAAAAAAAACAACAGACCAACAAAGCAAGGAACAAACAGAAATAGCCATTTTGTTTTGCTAGTGTTGCAGGCATATAAGCTAAAGCCATGTTAAAGCATAGATAGATGGTAGATGTCTTAGGAGAAAACCTATAGAATTAAAAGGTGAAATGGACAAAGCAAGCTGCTTTATTCTCTGAATGTGCTCCATCCTGTGCAGTGAACAAGGCAAGAGTCTTGAGAAGAAAAACAGTTGTCTTTATGTAATTAATTGTGTACATTCAAGGGTCAGAATTAAGGTCAGATGTGAACTTGCCTTTTCATTTGGTAGCAACATGATGCTTGAAAAACTGATTAAAAAAAAAAAAAGTATTACATTTGATTTTTGAGCTTTAAATCAATGACTTTGAGTGCACAGCATTCTGCTGACTTAATATTTGTTTTTATTTTACAGGTCCATCATTTATATCAGAGAGCTCTTCATAAGTTACCTCTATGTGCAACACTATGGAAAGATGTAATGTTTTCTCCTTATGATTCAGTTTGAGGTTTCCTATAAATTTTCTGCATATCCCATATCCTTAGATGTGGTGATGCTCAAGCTTTGGCTAAATCTTATATCTGCTTCCCCATCTCTTGCAGCAACTCTTGTTTGAAGCATCAGGAGGAGGTAAAACTGATAACCTGAGAAAACTAGTATCCAAGTGCCAAGAGGTTGGAGTCAGCCTAGATGAGCTTTTAAGTTTAAACACTTGCAGAACAGAATGCAAGAATCTCTGAACGCTGGGTACAGTCAGCCATAAGTTCTGTTAAATGCCAAAATCAGTTGAATGATTCTTCAGGCTGATCTATGCCTAAGATCTGCATAAGGCAGATGAGTATTGCTGAGCATATCGAGCCTCCGGTCTGCTTTCCATGAAGCTGGAAACAATTAACATGACCCTCCTCTCTGGAAAAATGAACTCCTGTCTGGCCTCGCTTCTGGGCCCTGCCAGATTGTCATAGCATCATGTACGTAAGTATAGTTAATCCAAATGACAGACATTATTTTTTCATGTTTTTCTTTTGTTTTCTGTTTTCTTTGTTTTGCTGTTCCTGATTCACTTGACACTCTCACTGATGCCTGAGAGATCTGTGTTTGGGATTAATTTACTGGGCTGTGTTTACAGTAAAAAGCAAGTAGTCCACTTTGGGTTTTTCCTTTTTTAAACCTTTTTTGAGACTTTTTCATTACAGGATTTAAAACAAAAGCAGCCGCTCTTAAGGAAAGTGTAACTGCCGTGGCCACAAGTATGCTTGTTGCACTTGAAGGCTCTAAGAGGGCTGCTTACTGCCCTTTTCTGCATTGGACTCATGGCAGAGACTATTAAACTTGAAGATTAAAGAAACTATTGCAAATGCCAGTGCATCAGAACCTAAGAGTGGTCAATTATGTGCAATTTTTGTAAAGAAATTTTAATTTATAATAAAGTTTAACAGTTTAAAGAAAGTTGATGTTGGTCTGTTCTGTACTGGTACACCCACGTTCCATTAGTTATTTTTGCAGACATTTCCAGTTTCAGTTGATGTTAGAAAAAATATTCTGTTGCTTATATTTTACCCAAAATATAAACACATGTGGTTGAGTTACCTATTGTGGCTGTAGGATAACTACATATTTTTAGGGTTTTTTTTTTTTTACCTTTGCCTCAGGTACACAGATGAATTTGTCCCATTTTCCTTTCAATAATGTCACGTCAGTAATGGAAAGCACGCTTTATATTTTTCATTTTCAGCTTTAATGAAATGAGGCCCTCTTTCCACAGTCCCTGCTTGCATTGCAGAGGGATAGTACCAACCTACTGAGTTTGTCGTGGGGCTGTTCACGTTGGGTTGGCTTTCTGCCTGTTCTTTCATCTGTGCAAAATTACATTTAAAAAAAAAAAAGATTGCACCTTTTGCCAAGGTGACTTAAGCAAATGCTGTGAAAACAGAGTAAAGTGGTCTGAAATGTTTGTAAATAAGGGAAAAGAGGCTGCTTCTGACATTAAAAAAGAAAAAAAAAAATTTAGTAGTTTTCAAAACCTGTATCTGAAGTTACACGTGAAGCAGCTCTCTTAAAGGAGAGAAAAGTGGGAAATGCTGCTTTCCATGTAAGGGAATGGAGGGTGATTACACACCATAAATACAAAGGTGTATAGAAAGATTTAAGAATTAATTACTAAATAAGTAAAACTTTAAATACTGAGGTTAAATGGCCAGGTTTTCTTGGAGGCTGCAAAAGTATGGAATATGAAGAAAGCAGATTCTAACCCATCCTTTGTGGTACAGTAGTATTGATTTCTTCAGACTACACTTCAGTGGTACAGCTCAGAATGAAGATGTAGACTGTAAACGTGCAGTATTTAATAAAAGCCTTCTTGTCTGGTAAACATGGGCAGCGTGTGTAACTCAAGTGATGTTCACATTTTTCTTAAGCAACATCTGAATGTATGTAGCAAGTTTGTAGCATAATGCCATTTCTCCTGTTCTGCTGACTAACACTGTCAAGGGTTATGGGGTCTTAATTCTATCTTGCACATTCTGTCACTTCAGCTTCTCTTTTATGTAGGACTGTTACCTTCTTTTATCTTCTGTGTCTTGCTTTTCAGTGACTTTATAACAAAAGGCCTAGTTTTGCTTAAAATTTTAATCAGGGAATAATCATAGGTTGCCTGGAGAGGTTCTGGAGTCTCCTTCTCTGGAGATATTCAAGACCCATCTGGACCTGTGTGACCTATTGTAGGATGCCTGCTTTAGCAGGAGAGTTGGACTCGATGGTCTCTCGAAGTCCCTTCCAACCCTGGGCTTCTGTGATTGTGCAGTACTCTACCTAAAGGAGTTCTCAGGTGGAGATGAAGGGAAAGACAAACTGATGTTCTATCTGCTGCTGATCTTAATCCATATTGTTTTAATTAAAATATTCCTGGTTACCTTTACCAATATTACCTGTCGCCTTTTGCTACAATTTAGCAATTACAATTGCTAAAAATGTTTGATTTGGCTCTGGGTACACTGCTCTGGCAGCCCTGCCTCAGCAGAGGGTTAGGCAACGTGACCTCCACGCTTTGCTTCCAAACTCAACCATTCTGGGATTGTGACATTTCTAGTGAACGTGTACTTCCACCCCCTTAGTCTAATCACTCCTCCTGCCCCCTCATTTCCCTTGTTCAAATGGCAAAAAATCATGGAGCCAGGCCAGCACTTTTCTTACCATCCCTTGCTGGGACGTAGCTGTAAGAAGTGACCTGCCTTTGGCTAAGGATGTAAATATTTCTTACCTTAGTGCATGCAGCGGTTTATAAACTACCTAGGGTCTTTACAGATTTCTTTAGTGCTTTTGTTGAGGTGTTCTACTGCACACCCTTTATTTTACATAGAATGCAGATTGTGATGGAGTCTTTTTGCCTGGCTTTGTTCCTTCTGAAGATAGCCTGGCCTTTAATGAAAAATATATTTTACTTCTTTTGTTTATATGATTGACAGAAACAAACAAACAAAAAAAACCCAGCTCCATGATTCTTTAGATTCAGAAGGCTAAGGATGATTGTTTATCTTTAGTGGTGGCCAAGACCATGCCTCAGATATGTGTGAGTTTTACATTGGCTTGCTTTCAAAATCCTTCAGGCATATTCCTTGTGCACCTGTTCTATTCTGCCCTCAGTGCTCATTAAGTGTTTATCAAAGCAGGCTAACTTCTCAAACTGATGGTATTCTGGCAAGCAGAAAATTCGCATCACCTTCAGAGGCACTGAAGTGAAAAGAAGGTGGAAGCATCCATCTCCTCCGACTTTCTTGAAAGCAGAACGCTGCTTACACAGTCGTCGTTCTGTGATACAGATCTGTACGTGTACTGCATCCAGCTGTATGCCTGGATCCAATTCCACAACACTCAAGGTTGAGATGATGGAGAACAGTGAATGTATTTCTATCTTAATTAGGAACCATTAGTTCCCTTTTTTTCTCCACAGGCTTTTGACTGTAAACATCACAGAAAATCTGACCCAGCTTTGAAAATTGTAATTATCACCTGTGGCCTGGGATTAAAATGCTCTGAGGGATTGATGGTTGATTTTCAGTCCTAAGGATCTGAAGCATAACTACAGAGGTTGCTCCAAAAGTAATGCCTTTTGTTTATGTCCATGCAAACTACAACAGGTCCAAAAAGCGTAATAGCATTACTTAATAGAGCACGTTCTCAGCTATAAAACACTATTTTTTAACATAGCCACCACTATTAGCTATGCATTTTCACCAACAATGGACAAGAGCCTGCACCCTGTGCTCATAAAAATCAGCACCAGTGGAGGTGACCTGCTGTCATCGCTGCTGAAATGCACTAACTACTGAGTGCCTTACTGTGCTCACACCCACTGTCTGAACTCCATAAACACGAAGTGTCAATGACTGTCAGTGGGTGCCAATTTTTCCTCATGGAGGAATTCAGTGCCACCTCTTTGCTTCATGTGCAACTTCCATGTCAGATGCCGTTCTGTCAGAGTGCCCGTCTGCTTCTGCTGCCATCTGTCACACAGCAACAACATGGAATGGGTTGCATTCCCCTTGGTGGGAAGGTTCAACCTCTACTGCTACACTGCCAACATCTGCCTCTGATGTATTGGGCCAACATAATAAAACAGGCATTGCTTTCAGAGCAGCCCTTGTAAATACTGGGAAACAAACCCAAAAAGGAATAGCAGCCAGGTAATCCTGGCTGTTGTTTCTTCATTTTCCAATTTGAGGAAGCAACTGACGACTGGTGCAGCCCTAAGACACATGAACTCTTCATTATTGCTGCAGTTGTTCCTGTGTTTCTAGTGTTCAAACTCTGAGGAAGGTGCAACTCTACATAATTTCTTTCTTCTGAGATGCACAAACTGCAGTTTTTCACTCAAGACTTTGGCTTCTAGTGGAGAGACAGGAGCTACAAGTGGGCTGCAATCACATCAATCTTCTCGAGACAGTGAAGGAAGAAAAGCATCACAAAATGAAAGCTTTTTCCATTCAGATGCAGGCTTTTCTGTGTTCATGAGGAGCACCTGTTCTGGTCCTCTGTTCTGCTCTTTTCTAGTGATTTTATATATTGACTGTTTTTGTTTTTCCTTTGGTCTGTAAAGACCATCTCAAAGTTTTGGAAATTATCAAGACAGATTACATTAATTAAGCAAAATATTTACTAGGGCAGAACTGAATGAATTTTCTGATAGAAGAAGGAAAATCCCACCCTAGTAGTTGGCTTGCCCATCACTAGATCATTGAGGTGAGTTTTTGCCTATAAGGCTCCAGTGTGGGTACCTGCGTCTGCCCCTGAGAAGCAGTCAGACCGACAGCCCCTCCTCTGTGACCCACCGATTGAGCTTCTGTCCTGTGGTCAGTCACTCAGACTTACAAAGCAATAATATTTCTGTATTATTGGAACAAGTAGGTCTGAAACCCAAACTAATCCTAGAATAGAATCATGGAATCACCAAGGTTAGAAAAGACCTCCAAGATCATCCAGTCCAAATATCTGCACACCACCAATATTTCCCACTAAACCATGTCCCTCAGTACAACATCTACCTATTTCTTGAACACTTCCAGGGATGGAGGGTGGTGATGCACTGTAACAGGTTTCCCAAGGAGGTTGTGGATGCCCCATTCAAGTCCAGGCTGGATGTGGCTCTGGACAGCCTGGTCTGGTGGCTGGTGACCCTGCACATAGCATACTAGATGATCATTGTGGTCCTTTTCAACCCAGGCCGTTCTATGATTCTATGAGCTTTGTAGAATTCTGAGATTCTTTTCATGGGACCATGGAAGCACAGTTGGATCACAAAAGTTGTGACAAACATGCATGTGGTCATTTCTTCCCACAAATAATGTTTCTTTGGATTTCAAATATAAGTTTCTCCAATGATGAGTGGCTATTCAAACCAATTGCAAACTCATTTCCATTCTCAGGTTTCATGTTGACTAAGTCTGGTCACATCTCTGCTAGATAACTTTGTGGGAATTGTTCTGGGATCATTTGTATATCTACAGAAAATCATGGAAGGTTTTACTGATGGATTTTGGTGGGATAAGAAGAATGTGTGACGTTTACTTTAATTTAGAAATACAGACCTTTTAACCAAGACAGCTGAATCAACTGAAAATCAATGGATTGGAGTTCATGGAGTTGCCTTGTCAACTGTATCTCAAAATGCACCTTACTTTTCAGCACCTAGCTAATAGGAGTCGCCTATATCCTTGGTGTTGGCAGTCTTAAAAGAAAATAATTCAAAGAACTTTGCTAGATGCTGCGTCACATACTTGCACCTGATAGTTTGAAAAGATGATTTCTAAATGAGTTGAACGTAAGCATCTAAGTCTTGGCAGTATTTGGTTGGAAGGCAATAATTCTGTGAGTTCTATATCTAGTGAAAAAAAGGTTGCTCAATATCTGTACCTACTTCATGTGTCACACAAGATGTTCCAGTTATATCTCTA